GAGAGCTGTCGACTTCGACGTGAACACTCATGCATAGAGATCTGCAATAAAAATATTTTTAATGACAAGAGGTCTATCCACACTTGTTCAGGTATGTTCTTTGTCATAGTTGGAATTTTCTTTAAATACTGCATTCTACACTTTGACAAGAGTAGAGCATGTGGAAACATGTAAAAGTGCATAACAAAAATGCATTCAATGTAGTTTGTGTTCATTGACCTAAAATGTAAATTTATAATGTCAATCTCTTATGCCTGCTGCTCACCAATAATTTGACTGATTTTAGTCCTGTTTGGTGCCAGCACCTTAATAATCTTGCAGGCCCAGCGTTTCCACCGGGCTGCATCTCCTCTAGCTTCCTCTCTTGGTCAGCCAGAGAGCCTTCGCCCTTGACCGAGGCCCTCACAGGATCGGCCCTGAAGTCCCTGGTTACCCTGCTGGCGGACCGTCCCCACATGCCCGGAGCCTGGCTATTATATAATAATCTTGCAGGCCAAGTGGCAGCTGCACTTTGGTGTGCATTTTCACTGCTGCAAGGCCAGACTGCAGTACCCAGCTAACCTCAATCAGACACTAAGAGGTTCATCTATAAAAGTTCCGTCTGGTGTAATGCTGGGTCACGGTGGATGCCATAAGCACAGCACTAGTGCCCCTAAACAGCACTGATGAGTATAGGAATTTCATATACACGTCAGTTCCATCGAGAATGGCTTAAGCCACACTAACATATAGCCAGGCAGAACTTTTATAAATGATCCCCTGGATTTGAATCTAGTGCTCTACACTGACCAAACTATCCTGTAATTACTTTGATCTGCAGTTCTGGTATAACTCTCCTTGTCTTCTCCTGAACTCCTGCTCTAATTTTAGTCTTGGCTTGTTTTGGTTTTTGTTCTCTCTGTCTGGTTGGCCCTTCTGCCAGCCCTGACTTCTGGTCTGTATCTGACTATGACTCTGTCTTGTGGTTTGAACCTCTGGCTGGTCCTGTTTGTGAGCTGTCCTGAAGCCAAACCCATTTCAACCATTGGGAGCTTTTATACAGTCTGAGCTCTAATGATGGCCTTCTGCCACCTGCTAGCAACACAGAGGATCTACCTAAAGCTGGCCATACACCTTACAATTATCTGCATATTTTCTGTGATCAGATGGAAAAGGTGCAACAGATTCCTCCATCTACACTTAACTGTGTGGATGGAGTAATCTCCACCTGGGCCAATCTGTTGCACTCCCTGGTAAATACTACACATGAATTGATGAATTGCTTCTTCCAATATGTCTTTCGTGTGCACCTATTTATAACATGAAGAGCCATTTCAGCTGGCAAGCTCGTTCATTGCTCTGCGGTTAGTTTACATCTTCAGCAGTTGTAAAATAAAGGCATGTTACAGTCTTGTGTTAATGTAAAAACACATATGATTGTCAGTGACATTCAGCTTCCAAGACATGATCCTGGGTGAGTAGAAAGGCACGCCGCGGGTGTACGTGAAACAATCCACACACTGCCCCCAGCCTATTGTGTTAATACTAAAAAAATGCTGCAGAGGCAGACGCCGCCCCTCAGCCCGATTCCCGGCTTCTGATTGGAAGTTCGAGAGGGCGCGGACATTGACGCCTCCAGCGACAGGAAAGAGGCGGTCCGGAAGGAGCGGCGCTGACGTCACGCAGGGATGGGCTGCGGGGCCGTGACGTCACGAGAGACGGGGTGGGGGGAAAAAAAATTGACAGAGGGGAGGAACCGAGTCCACGGAAAGCAGAATCAAAACAACGAGACACGCCTTCTAATCCTGGCTGCTAGTGCAGCCACCCCATGTTCATGGGCAGCGGGCGTATAGCGTGCTAGCAGCCCACCTCACCTTCAGCTAGAGACGCATCGCAGCGTCGCTTCCCCCCCTCCTCACTCTTTTTCACGCCTGCAGCCGGGGGGGCACCATGCAGGCCGTCGGCGAGAAGAGTTGAAGGCACGTTGGGAAGAACTAGGAGGTGGATGCGCAATGCCTAACGTGAAAAATAGCAAGGGCAAGAAGAACAAGCGCGCTAACAGCAGCGGGGATGAGCAGGAAAATGGAGCCATGGCAGTTGCTGCAGGAGCCATGGCATTAGCCACAGCGGGAGCCGCAGCTGCACCTTCTTCTGCCACCGTGCTGGCTGCTGCCTCGGCGGTAGCGCCAGTGGCATCGGCCGCACCTTCCTGTGACAGCAAGAATGGTAAGAGCCTGTGACCTTATGTGCGCACCTGTCACTGCCCATTGACAAGGCTTGGCTTGACAGGCGCTGGTATCACAAGAATGGAGCACTGACAGCACTGCACACAGCAGGGGGGTGGGATCCTCTATACCTGCTACAGCAACTGCGATACAGAGCTGACAATCAAATGGCCACCTCTGATCTCCATGTATGCAGGGCCTGATCACACCTGGGTGTAGGAAAACACTGTACTCAAAGCGCTTCATGCATTGCATAACATTTCAATACAATACACCTTTTGCACCCCAGACACCTGGGAAATATGAACACATAACTTCCAAAAATGCACAAGTGCGTTTTAAGGGCTCGATCACACCAGCATGCCGTGCTGAACGTAGAGTGTGCGCTGGTAACAGTGCTGATCACACTGTTTACGTTTTTTGTTACAAGAGACATTTCATTAAGTTCTATCAGCACAGCGCAATGTGGTTATACTGCGTTGTATCATGCTGCACTGAATGCGGTGCTGTGAACTGAATCCATTTTAACCAAGGCAGATTGCCCCTCTGTGCGTTGACAAGGCAATTTCTATTGACTATAATGTAATGCACATTTTTACCAAAACGCACCTGAGGTGCAGCAAGCAGAATTTAAAAAAAAAGCATTGTCCTGTAGCACAACACAGTTATGTGAAGAGCTTCATAAATCAGAATGGTAACTTTTTTTCATGGGCTTTTAGTGGGCTGTGATACTGCGTTGTACCGTACATAAAGCGCACAGGTGTGGATGGGCTTTGTTATATAAACCCAATCACTAAGTCTCCATTGACAATTGTGTGTCTACATCTTCATGCGTTTTAATGCTTTTTTAAAAAAAATGCATGATCAATGCTTGTTTTGACCAGTGTAGGCGAAATAAAGTATAGGTTGAGGTATAGTATATTGGAGTGTCATGTGCTAAACTGCAAGAAAATTAATGTTACGTGTGGTTTTCTCACGCTGCCATTGGGCTTAAAAGGCGCATAAGCACCTGTGCCATTTTCCAAGTAGCATGGAAGCATGTTGCATAGGTGTGAATCGGCCCCCTTAATGGGATTCCTATTGTCATGCATTGTCATGCGACAGCCAAAAAGCACTTCCAATTGAACAGGCGTAACTAGGGACTGAAATCTCATATGAGCTTTCATTTCAAAAGGCCTTTATTAAAATAAACATAATTTAAAATAATACCTCACTGGTCATTGTGTTCCACTGTAATAATCACCATTAGGAAGCCCACCCTGAGCAATGACATGTAGACCGTTTTAATTAAAATAATACCTCACTGCTCATTGTCCAGGTATATTCCACTGTTATCACCATCAGGAAGCCCACCCTGAGCAATGACATGTAGACCATTTTCATTAAAATAATACCTCGCTGCTCATTGCCCGGGTAGGTTCCACTGTAATTACCATCAGGAAGCCCACCCTGAGCAATGACACAAAGATAGCTTTCATTAAAATAATACCTTGTAATCCTGTACTTGTACCTGGATCAGACCATTCCTGTTTAGGAATGACAACGCTATGGCCCTGTCTCCTAAATGCTCTTCTGTGTTGTCACCCTGCCACATGCACTTTTAATGGAGACTACAAGCAGCCATGCTGGTGCACATTGCACAGGTGTTTTCTACTGTTGTCCCCATGAGGAAGCCCACCCTGAGCAACAACGCGGAGACAGCTTTCATTAAAATAATACCTGGTGATCCTGTATTTGTACTTGTTCGGGCACTTCCTCTTTTAAAGTGACAGTTCTCTAGCCCTGTCTACCAAATGCTCCCTTGCGTTGTCACCCTGCCACATGCGGTTTCGAGGGAGACTACAAGCGGCCATGTTGGTGTCCATTGCGCAGGCATGTTCCAGTGTAATGACCATCAGGAAGCCCACCTGGAGGGCAAGCATGTAGACAAGAATCGGCTGCAAGAGATCGACAATGCTGAGATGTAACGATGAAGGATGAGAAAAAAAAAAGAAGTGAAAACAAGTATTTTATATAAAGTCCAACTCCGGATATCCCCACACTGCAAGGTATAACTGCTTGTTAAGTCTAGTGGTGCAGGGGTTTGGAGTACTACTTACTCCTCACTCTGGCAGGCCCCCTCCATCCCACGAATCATTCTACACAAGGTGCTCACGACCACGGTTGCACAATTTCCTCCTCCATGTACAATGTAGGGTTATAAGCCCTGAATTGTGGCTGATTACACAGAGTGGCTGTCGCCAGCCAGGAGTGTAAGGGAAAAGAGAAGAGTTCCAGATCTTGTACCCCAAGGTGTCTGTGAAGGATCTCATTCAATCAGGTCATCTGTAAAAAATAAATCAAGGCAACTGGATTTGCTGTTGTTTTTTGTTTTTGTTTACAGCAAGTCCAGTTGCCTTGATTTATTCCCCACTGCAAGGGTTTTCTTTGTCTTGTGCCCGGAGTCAGGCTTTAAATGTAAAGGTAATTCTGTATGATAAAAGATGCGTTTTTTATGTGTTTGCATGCGTTCCAGAGCAGGTAAAATAGGGCTTGCTGCAGTTGTTTTTTACATGGTCTGGAACTGAATGCTGCGGTGTGAACTAAAGCCCAAAATACCATTGGAATACATTGGACGCAGTTTTGATCCGGTCTGTAACAGATCTGCTCTGCTCCTGGAACGCGCTTGTTGTGAACAAGCCCTAACTGTGAAGAATCCTTTCCATATGCAAAGTTTAAACCTCTTTTCCTCCAGATGCAGAGTGCCCCTTTGTCCTTTGCAGGGACCCTAAAGTGAATAATTTGGCACCAACCTCACTGTATGGACCATTTTATGTATTTGTGCTGCCATGTACAAGCAGGAAGTGAAGGAAAATTGGCTGTTTTAGGGCTCTTTCACTACACATAAGGCACTGCCGCCACACACAGACACCAGCCTGCAAGCTAAAACATATCTTTTTTTAGATCAGTGGTGGGCAAACCCCGGCCCTCCAGCTGTGGTGAAACTACAAACCCCATCATGCAATTATCTCTGGGAGTCCTGTTGGTGGTTGTGAGAATCTTGTAGTGTCTCATGGGATTTGTAGTTCCACAACAGCTGGAGGGCCAGAGTTTGCCCACCCTTGTTTTAGCATGTCTGGTGTCTGTGTGTGAGGATGGTGCCTTGCAAAAAATGTTTCCCTTTTTTTTTTTTTAAATTAACTTTATTGAAATGTCATTGATTTCTATGCATTCTGTTATAACGTGATAGGGGCACCTATGTGCCCTGCAAAGACCTGTGTTGCACAGGTGCAGATAAATGTAGGTCTGTGCACATAGCGCTTGTTCATACCTGCTGCACACTAAAATGGTCCAATTTACTATATGGCGTGTGTCCGCTGGGTGGCAGCGTTGTGTGGTGGTGCCTTACATTGAAACAACACAAGGCACTGTTTACTTTAAAAAAAAACTTTATTGACAGTGTACAAAGTGTGCACTATGTTCAGGTCTGCGCAGCAGGTGTGAATGAGCGACGGTTGCCTTCATTGAAAATAGTATTAAACTCTCAAACGTTTTCAATAGTTAACCCAGATCAAACAAATATACATTGCCCAGCTAAGTATTTCTTTACTTTACTGGGGACCAACTGCACAGATTCCACTCGTTTGCGGCCATTATATAGCTGCGAACGTGCGGAATCCGCCGGATTATCGCACTTGTACTATTTTGGGGGCGGCGCAATTTCGTACCGCGCGGTCACTGCATTAGTCTGAACAATGCACATTGAAGTGCATTGGTTTTTCTGTTTTGGAGCGACTCTGCGTGAATTCGGCTGTACAGCCGCCCCAGTGTGAATGGAGCCTTGTACATCCCTTGTAGGCCTTCTCTCTAATCATTGGCAGTGCAGCTGTTTTGAAAAGGGCTATCCTCTGTATTCAGCGTGGGAGATATATATATATATATATATATATGTATGTGTGTGTCTGTAGCAATGCTTGCTTTCCTGATACAACTTTCCCTTTTGTATTCTAAACTATGTGGATGGACTGCTTTGTGCAAGTTTACTAAGTCTATTTGCACCACAGTAAACATGACATGCTACAGTACGTTTAAATACTGTGCATTTCCACTTTCATTTTAAGTGTTCTTTGTGGTTTCTGTTTTTTTTTACTGATCTGTTATTGAAGTGAGAAATATAAGTGGGCTATTAATTCAGTCTGTATCTGAAGGCCCTTTAAAAAAAGAACAGTTACAATCGAGTTTTTAGAGAATAATCTAAATACTTGTGCAGTGTAAAGCACTCTTTCTGCCTCACTTGATTCCCCATCCATGCTAAACAGCATGGATTGAGGAATCCCCTCCGTCAGCTATTGTATTCTGACAGCCGACACTCATGGCTGTCAGAAGACCCAAATAGTTAGACTTCTGCTGATTAGCTGCAATCACTGTTCAGCCAACAATTTTCACCTGGCTCCCTTTGTGCCCGCGGTCCGGTCCTGTGTGGTGCAATCAAAATAGTGCTTGCAGCATTTTGATCGCACCGCAGGCACAATGCGCCTTGCGATCCCATGCGGGCGATCGCATTGCGGCCGGAGGGCGTGGCTACGGTTCCATTCACTTCAATGGCCCGCCACGCCCCCTCCTGCCGCACTAAAAAGTGAGCTGGCCGCAATGCGAGGCAGTGTGTTCTGCCCAGAATTGGGCCGGAACGCACTGCAACTGGTGTGAAGGTGCACTAAATATTTCAGATTAAGTTTGGTGGGCCAGAGGCCAACATTCGCCTTCCTATTAGCTTTATTTGCTTTATCTAAGCCTGATGCTTCAGCTGAAGTATCAAGTTCACAAGTCACCAGAAATCTAACATTAGCTGCTTTTCAGCTGCCTAAACACTGGTAGAATTTCGTCCTCGAACGTTCTTCTATTAGAACAATTGTCATATAGTTAATGGGGTCAAACTGATGATCGTTTTTGACCTCCCAAAATGGAGACGCATCAATAAAAACCTGACAACATTTCTGATCCTTTTCCTACTCTATGCGAAACAAGTTAAAAAAACAAGGTTTTGATTTGAAATGAGCTTAAAGGAGAATTATGGGGAGAGTGAAATACACTCATCTCTATAATTAGAGCCGACATGTGACACTGCAGCTGTCACACATCGGCTCTATTGATCGAGAATTGAACAATCCCATACTGCTAATCGGTCAGTTCCCAATCTTCTCCCTGCAGAGCAGTGACTGGCAAGTGTCCAATCACCCGACTGATACCGGACAATAGGACAATGGCCAGAGCTGTGAGGACTCTCCATATATCCCCTTCCTCTTCAGGAAGTTTTTTAGCAAGCAATAGAGAATGATAGACTTGGACAGCCATAACCACATCCAACCAGAGTGGAGCCACCTCCTTAGGATGTTTCAGAGCCAGACTCTAGCAAAAAACTGAGGATTTCCTGGAGAGAGAGGGGTTATATGAGGGTCCTCACAGCCGTGGCCATTGTCCAATCACCCGATGATACCTGTATATTACCTAGTTCTATCTGAATCTGCCTGTATCCTGTAGTGTACATTAAAGAAAAATGTACCCCCCAAGGACACTGTTACTTTCACAACATAGTACCTATTTTCACAGCAGCCATTTCACTAATGCTGAAATCGTCACTTCCAGGAGTGTTGGATTGTTATGGCTTCTCTTGTCTATGCCCTCCTCTGCAGTGTCAGTTGCCACTGCTCTGTCTATGCTCCCAACACAGTCTCACGATATCTGTTTTAAACGTGCATTTGGCCAGGATTGTACTACACAAGTGCTGCATCATTTACTGGACAGATCTACTGCTTCTGGAGGCGCTGACGTTGGAGACAAGATGCCAGCACCCAACAGCAATCAGCTTGCATTTTCTATGGAGGCATCTTTTTAGGCCTACAACTGGCTTGAGGAATCGAGCAGGAATAGGGTCTTTTTTATTAATGAACTCTTGTCACATATTCAGTGTAACCTGCGATTAGGCAATGCTGGAAAGGGTCTATATCTGCAGGCTGTCTGATCTAGAATGAAGCGAAACATTCCTAAGTTTATTCTGTACCTCTGTCATGTGACTTGTAATATCACTGTCAGAGCTACTTGGGTACGTTCCATTGATGTATGCCGACTGTGGCGGATAGACCCACACAAACAGATGCTTGTTTTGATGTACAAAAACTGGTGCAAAGAAAACTGAATCAAATCTATTCAACGTATTTCTTTGCTTTATTTGAAGATTAACTCCAGTTAGGTAAACAACATAATTCAATACATTTGTACAGTGTTTTGATTTTTTTTTTCTCTTTAGCAGACTGAGCGGCATTAAAGACTTATCTGTGTGTTGCTGCTTTTTTTATTATACATTTAATTTGTTTTTGATAAGTTAGATGGCGGTGGGGAGGGACAGCTCAGAGTTTAGCTTTATTTCTAACAGAAGGTTGAGCTCCCAGCACAGAGGGAGGAATAGGCTGCATTTTCAATGATGTTACATGTCAATTACAGCAGTGACACATATGTGCAAATGTTAGTAACACTAAATTCAGGATTTAAACCAGGGTCTCAAACTCAATTTAGTCGGGGGCCACTGGACACATTTTTTAGTCCCATGGGGGCCGCTACTATATACGCTACCAGTGTTAATGTATGCACATGTTACAAGCGGCAACTGTCACCCATTCAAATTAATGATTGGGTGACAGCACGTGAATAGACCCCTAAATTTCAATACAAATTAAACTAAACGTGAGATTGTAGTCCATCACGGGAGTGAACTTGGAGCGGTGGCTACACCCTCCAGAAGGAGTCTCAGTCCTCCGCACCAAATAAGGTCCAGTATTGTTAATCGGTAAGGTACTTGAATGTATTTTTAAGATTTAACTTCTGAGTTTAGTGTCACATTATTGCCTTGACTGGGTAATTTTCTGGTTGTTGATAAACTGTTCAGGCTTCACACCTGCTTCTAAGCAACAATCCCCAGACTGAAAACAACCCAGTGCTCAAGGCACATTTAATCCACTATTGGGCATAGCCACAGACTGAGACAGGCGTGTGAACCACTTAACTGGGGGGGAGGGGGGGTCAAGAAAAGTACAGGGCAAGTAGTATTCATAAGGAATGGCTAGTGCTACTCCTGTGTAGTAGTCTGTGAGGTGACAGTGACACAATGCCACTGAGGCATCAGACCATTAAGGTAACGGGCCACTATTAAGCTCATTTAAACATGTTACAGTCCTACTGTACTGTAAATGTCTTTTGGATTTACAAAACTATGTAATAGTAGGATCTACCTAGACCAGGGGTGCCCATTAGGTCGATCGCGATCTACCAGTCGATCACAAAGTGATCCCTGGTAGATCGCGATGTCCTGTCCTCCTGCGTGGGGCTTCTCTGGATCCCCGCTGCTCTCTCCCATCTGTATGCAGAGGGGATCCGAGAAGTGAACGAAGCGCATCTGCAGAGCGGTGAGGTGAGAGAGAGCCGCTCGGCCTGGATCTGACAGCCGGTGGCTCTCTCTCTCCTCACCACACAGGCTGCTGTGACACCGGCTCCGTCCGAATCCCCCCCCCCCCCCCCCC